CATTGCTATCCTTCCACTACTAGAATGTAAGCTGCTTAAGAGTCATCTGTGTACTGCATTTGCTTTAAACAGACTAGGCAGTCTTTGAGTGCATACTGATCTGGGCTGAATTTCTAGAAGATTCTAAGAGACAGACAAGAGTTGAAACGACTGTGGAGATCACATGCTTTAAGGATTAATAGTAAGGCCAAAGGTGAAATTATCTGACCTTCAGAAAGCACATTTATGTGAAACACGTTAGAACATTCTGACCACGAATATACATAAAAACTTACTATATCACTAATGGTACTTACATCAAGGTTTTCTAAATTATTTTGCTGTACGAACAAAGTCCTTGACTGTAGCCCAAAAGTTTCCCAATATTTTGACGTATATTTTATGGTGACAAATAAATTTTTAAGATTCTTCCTAGAAATGTGAAACTATCATTGATTTCAAATGTGTATATGTAATCCCAAAATTTTGATAGATTTTGATACTATTCTAGTAAGTGTTTTGTTATGGATGCTTTTCTCTTGTGTGTACTTTCTTTTATCTAGTTTTTAGCATAGTGAATTCATAGTAAATATTCATGGGCTTTCTAGATTGTTAGAGACTACTAAATTAAAAATTGTTTTCTTTCCTGACAACATTTATCATGGGCCTCATAATATCCCTGTAACTTTCCTACAACTCATATCTATATCAAACAAGTAACTTTATTTAGAGATAGATATTTGTGGAGAAATTAATTGTGTGTTTATGTCATTTTAGGCTTGAACCTATATTTAATTTGCTGTCTGCCAACTAAATTATTCAAAAGGCAATTAAATCTTTAGAAAACACTGATTCCAAAAATAGATGCCAAAATTTATTTGTATTCTGAGAATCACTGTGGTCTGAAATCTTAAGCATCAGTAACTTAAACATTTTATGTTCTTCTTAATATTAAATAGCTATGGGCTTCATTCTATCAGCCAAAAAAATTAAGTCACCATTAGTTGAAGGACCAGTGGTTTCAACTACTGAGTAAATTCATTCCATTTTAAAAATAAAGAATGCTCATACAGGGTTTTGAGCTTAGGGAGAGTATAATTAAAGCCTACATATATGTATTTGGATATGAACCGACATATAGGTTGAAGCCTAAAACTTTTTGTTATAAATATATGTGTGTGTGTGTGTGTGTATTTATATATATACACACACACACACATATATACACACACACACACACAGATAAATAATAGACCAAGTGTGGTAGCTCATGTCCTGAAATCCCAGCATTTTCGGAGGCCAAGGCAGATGGATCACTTGAGATCAGGAGTTCAAGACCAGCCTGGCCAACATGGTGAAATCCTGTCTCTACTAGAAATACAAAAATTAGCCAGGCATGGTGGTGGGTGCTGTAATCCCAGATACTTGAGAGGCTGAGGCAGGAGAATTGCTTGGACCTGGGAGGCAGAGTTTGCAGTGAGCTGAGATCATGCCATTGCACTCCAGCCTGGGCGGCAAGAGCGAAACTCCATTTCAAAAAAAAAAAAAAAAAAAGAAGTGATAGATATATAATACCTTTGCAGTCATCTCAAGTATAAGGAGACATACTTTTAAGATTAAGAGAGATACTTCAATTAAACTCAGGAGTTTGTCAAAGATATATGCTTAGGAAAACTCTGGGATAGCACATAGCATGGCTTTAAAAACAACTGTCTTTCAGCTTTTCCAAATATCTGGAATTCTCAAGAGTTTTCTGTGTTTTGAAACATTGCTGATCTTTTGCGTCATTCTAAATATAGTGGAATAGGCTGTAATAATTGACTTTTGTGGCATATAAATAGGCTCACTGTTTCTTGATGCTGGATCTCTCTGTTCACCCTCCACACATTTGTCCACTGATGCTAGTTTCCAGTGTTGCTCTCTCATGCATAATTTGGTTTGGTTTTTCTTAAATTGCTGCTACTTTCTTTTTTTTTTTTTTTTGAGATGGATTCTGGCTCTGTCGCCCAGGCTGGGGTGCAGTGGCCAGATCACAGCTCACTGCAGGCTCCGCCTCCCGGGTTTACGCCATTCTCCTGCCTCAGCCTCCCAAGTAGCTGGGACTACAGGCGCCCGCCACCAAGCACGGCTAATTTTTTGTATTTTTAGTAGAGACGGGCTTTCACCGTGTTAGCCAGAATGGTCTTGATCTCCTGACCTCGTGATCCGCCCGCCTTGGCCTCCCAAAGTGCTGGGATTACAGGCGTGTCACCACGCCCACCTTACATGTTTGTTTTTTAAAACTGTTGGTCGTTTGTTTGCCTTAGACATTTTAAAAGCATACATGCTTCATTTAGTTAGTTTGGAAAAATAACTGCTAATACATTCGTTTTCCATGTTACCTGTGATAAAGATTTCAAAACATCTTAATCTGCAATCTGTAAAGTTGGATGCCGTCTTTCTGTAGTATCCTAGCGTGTAACAAATGCATGCATGTTATAAACTTATCTAAACAAGTTAGTTTTAAATTTTAATATCTGGGATGTGTGTGTTTGTCTTTGCCCTCCTCCCCTTGTTTTCTCTCTCCTCTCCCTATCTCTTCTCTCTGTCTCTTTCTCTCTCTCCCTTCCACTTTCCTTATTTTCGTATTTGCAGTATTTCAAGTGGAAACCCCACATAACTTGAGATGGAAAATATATTGCCTGTTGCTTACGTTTACCTACATACCAATTTTGCTATTTGCAGAAAATAAAGCACTTAATTGTTAATCTCTGAATAATTACGGAAAAGGGCTAATGCTTTTTAGTGTAATACTAACAATACATCTGCCTTCTGTGGCGGTTTATTGTATTTTACAGAAGCCTGTCAGCACATATTAGCCCTGTCCAAAAACTCTTAAAGTTCAGCAAGTAATCATTACGACAAGATTCTAATATGCATTGCAACTTTTGAGATTAAAATTTAATTGACCTCTTTTTTTCTTTTCCTTTACAATATTGTTTTGTCATGAAGTTTCTTATAGCACTTTTTTTTTTTAATTCCATGAAATATATGTTAGGAAACCATTTTATGACATGGATTTGGGAAAAGGGCTTGGGTATTTTTTTCTGGTTATTTTCATTTTATTTGTCATGTTCTTCAAAATGAAGTCTAAGCATATCTGTTGAAGATGTTTATTGGCAGTGTACACCATTGAAAAATTAAAAGAGTGTGACTAAAGTACAGCTCAATCTTGTTTCCATATTAAAATAGGGAGAGCTTTAAAAAATACTGAAATCTGGGTCCCATTTTAGTCTTAGTATATTAGTTTTGTAGGGCCATTATAATAAAGAACCAGAAACTGGGTAGCTTAAAACCAGAGAAATTTATTGTCTCACATTATTGGAATCTAGAAGTCCAAAATCAGGACTTCATAAGGGCCAAGCTCCCTTTGAGATTCTAGGTAGAATCCTTTGCTGTCTTTCTATAGCTTCTGCTAGCAGCTGGCAATCCTTGCTATTCCTTGGATTGAAGCTGTATAAGTTTAATCGCTTCCTCTATGGTCACATGACATTCTTCCCTCCTATCTTCACATCTACTTCTAAGGACACGAATCACGTGGGATTAAAAGCCACCCTAATCCAGTATGTTCTCATCTTAACTAATTATGTCTGCAAAGACTCAGTTTTCAAATACATTCATATTGATAGGGACCAAAGGTTAGGGCTTCAACAAATCTTTTTGGGGGACACAATTAAGCCATAATCCTCAGTAAACCAGAATCTCTGGGAGTGAAACTGAAGCATAAGCACATTTAAGAACATGCCAGGTGATTCTGATGTGCAGCCGCATTTCAAACCATCACGGTGCTGATGGAATCATTTTGACCAAAGATGAGCACGATCATCATTCTCACTGGCAGTGCAAAGCCTGGAGCCTCCTCTTTGTTTTCCATATTAAGTTAACGTTGACATTTTGGAAATATTAGCCTCCTACAGGCCAATTACATTTTAGATTTTTTTACCTCTATTTCATATTTGCATATCTTCACCCTAATAAGGAATAGTGTACTTATTATTTATAAGTACATTATACATCTACATACTTTATGTAGTTTTCTTCCACACTTTTTACTATTTATTAATTATTGCAAAGGCATCAAGACCTGTGTCTGTTAATAACTGATGGTATAAATATTTTGCTGCTCAAAGTAGAAAATGTTCACCAATGGGTACCTTCTTTCTTAATCTGTAATTCCATTTATAATAGCTAATTGGAGACATTTATATAATCTACTTACAGATTTGTCTAATGGAGAATGCACAGAACTTGGAGAGGGAGGTGTGGAATGACACAAGAGTGCTGATATAAAATAGAGTATCAGAAAACACAGTACCAAATTTCCCTGGGACATAATTGATACATGTTTCATAAATGTGCCCTTAATACATTTGTGTGGTTGAGTTGAAGCTAGATGTGGTAGGTACTCTGAGAATTATTTAAACCAAAGAAAAATATTCCAATATTAAATAATAATCCATTTCCGTGATGCCTTAAAATGTGACTGAGTATGTCCAGAGCAGTGCCAGGATGGAATACCTGTTACAAATTCCTCTGGTATTATTATTATGGTCAGTCATGTTGATAATGTGTTTATTACATGATCTTTAGATACTTACGGAAACACGGGAATATATTTAAAGATTTCTTCAAAATGATAAATAATACTTCTTTGTTCTCCAAGACCTTTGTTGTCTAATGGGTTCTTATTTGGATATTTTTGGGTGTCTTCTTAGGGCTTACTTTTTCTCCAGAGTGGATTAACATTTGCCGTTACTGCAGTTGTGCTTGCCTGTAGAACCATAGTTTCATAAATCATCTTTTTCTACTTTATTTGGCTTTGCTCAAGATAAATGTATCTTTTAGTACAGTTAAATGCTGATGAAACAAAGTGTTTATTCTCTTTACATTTCTTATTGTATTGAGAAAACCAACATTCATTAAGTAAAAGTTCGTCATATTTAATGTCTTTTCTACCCTCCTTCTCTCATTCGCTGGTGCAGGAGCGTGTTCCCGATAGCCCCTCGCCTGCCCCCTCTCTGGAGGAGGGGAGAAGGCCTGGCAGTCACCCATCATCACATCGCAGCAGCAGTGTGTCCAGCTCCCCTGCAAGGACTGAGAGCTCTTCTGACAGAATCCGTAGGTCTTATACTTCTACTTGTCACCATTTTAAACTTTATTAGGGTTCAGCTGGCTTTTCTAATCAACATGCCCTCATTCCAAATAGATCTCAGATGGATCATGTTCTGAAGCTCTGTAGCAATAGCCATCTCTCAAAATTATGTTTCCCAGTTCGTAATATCATGAGGTATGATACTACATTAACAGGTCCTGATATAAATTTCCTCGCTTCGATGCCACATATAAAGATTTGAGCTATGAAACAGAGAAAATAAGTAACCTTTTGGATTGGTTTCTGAAGTAAACACAACCAATTCTCAGATATCTAGTGTCTTGGTACACTGTTTATAGATTATTCAACATCATTCCTTAAATACTACCCGGCCATTTTTGTAATTCACTGACTTTTAAATTTTATCCTTATGTTAATGGAGATATCCACAAAGAGAAATGAGTTAAATTCAAAATAATAAATTTTAAAAACGTACATTTGTAAGTCATTCAGGTGATCAATGAATTAAAGAATTTGAAATTAGCTGAGTTTGAGAGTTTGAATTAGTAATAATCAATAATGCATACTAGTGCCATATATTGTTATTATTAAAATTTGAAAAGTAGGACTGTATGTTATTTTATAACATTTTCACAATATTTAACCTTGGTACTTCTGACCAAGAAAATGAAGAATAAAGGTTAAAATGCCATCAAATTAACAAGTGATTTTTGTGTCTATACAATAATCTCAGATTGTTCTTTTGATAAATGACTATATTAAAAGAGAATAACTTGTTTGATAAAACCTATATATTTTCCTTATTTCCAGAATTTAGCTATTATTTTATGCAATTATGTTTATAGCATAAACTTCATCTAATTATACAAAATTTGTTTAAGTTATTTGGTTGTTGAGAATATTTTCATAATAGGAAAGCATTTTATAGAAAGTGACTTTATAGGTTATAAAGGAATGTATGCATAAAGTGAAAATTGTTGATCTGGGAGCTATTGAAGTGGATAATTTAAAGATTAAGTTAAATGCTATGTAAATAATTATAAATAAAAGATAGTCAATTATTGGAAATTATATAGTTCAACATAATACTAAATATATATACTTGCTTTGGCCTGCCTGAAACTTATTTCCTTAATTTTATAACTTTATACACAATTTTAAAATAGTTTTCAAATAAAATATTTACTGTATATTTTTATGGTACGTTGACACTAGAATCAGAAATTTAATGATAAATATTGGCTTCATTATAATATATTGTCATTGGAAAGGTGCTGTCCTAGAGAAAAAAAATTTTTTTGGAAGAAAATGAAAATGATGGACACATTGGAGAAGATTTGAAAGAGTTTTGTTATACATTCATGTTATTTTATTAAAGGTTATATATTTTTTTAAATTTTTGATAGAAACAAAGGAGACATTTTTATATGCCTGGATGCCATAATTGTTGAAATGGAAATACATCCACATTCACACACATACGCATATATATGCATATATATGCATACACATACGCATATATATGCATATATATATTACATATTACTTTAAAATAATTTTAGAAAATTTTCAAATATACAAATCATTCTTATGCGTTTGTCATCCTGATTTACCTCGTCAATCAATCAATCAAGGTCTCTGAAAGTGGTATCTCAATAAAGGCATAATGTCACCTAGGGCTTCTATCATAGATTTAATACAACTTTACTCAGATTTGTCATTGTTTATCTTCTACAAAGAAGAACATTATTTTACATAACAGAAAAATGATCAAAATCAGGGAGATAACATTATTATAGTACTAAAATTTGAACTACAGTTTTTATTTAAATTGCACTGGTTTTCCCACCAATATTTTTTAAAGTAAGATTTTTTTTTTTCTAGGTACAAAAGCCAATCTATGACCACACACTACAATTAGTTGTCATATTCTCTTAGTATTATTTAATCTGGAAGAGTTCCTTAGTCCATTTTGTCTTTCAGAAACTTTTTTTTTTTTTTTTTTTTTTTGAGTACAGGCCAGGCCATTTATTTTGTAGAATGTCCCTCAGTTTGAATTTTTTTATGCTTCCTTTTGATTAGACTTAGGTTATGGATGTTTGGCGAGAATCACACAGCTGTGATAGTGCATCCTTCCTAGTGAATCATTTCAGGAGACACACATTTCTACAATGCCAGCAATAACTTTATCACTTTCTGAAGGTGGTGACTACCAGGTTTCTCTATTGAAATATTACTTGTCGTTGTTGTTGTTTACCTTTGGAGATAGTGACTGTCTGGTGAGAAAATATCTTAAGACTATGCAAATATTCTCTTCTTAACCAAACTTCCACTCACTAGTTTCAGAATTATCCCTTGATCCCTGAAACAATTATTATTAATGATGTTTGCCAAATGGTAATTTCTACTGTATTATTCTTATATTTTAAAAATTTATATTTTCCAGATAAAAATCTTGTTTTATGCAAAATAAAAATAAAGTGAGGTGATGTCATTTTCAGTATTTTCTGCATATTCTGATGAATTATCATGTTTATCAGTTATCACAGTGTTTTTAGGGATAGATTACAAATTTAAAGTTAGACCATTATATTAATATGATATTTACTGTTGAGTCCAAAAAGAGTTTAACTGACTTATTGGAACTTTGTGTGTTATGGTGTTTTTGTGTTTTCTTTTGTTTGTTTTCGGGTATAACAGCGGTCCATCAGAATGGGTTGTCCATGAACCAGATGCTGATGGGCTTATCACCAAATGTACTCCCTGGGCCCAAAGAGGGGGATTTGGCTGGTCATGACATGGGACATGAGTCAAAAAGGATGCATATTGAAAAAGGTAATGTATGATTATATATTCCTTGTTTTTCCTGATTCAATAGATTTTAGAACTAGATTTTAATCACAGAATGAAGTCTGTCTCTACATCATGTAAAAAAAAAGCATATAAATGTTTTTAAAATCTACAATATAAAGTACAAATTAAACCTATTCAACAAAAAAAAAGATATGAATGAAGACCTGCTGCACTTCTCTTATACAACAGGTAAGTTACAATTTAGTTACCATTACATTAAAAGAAAAAGTCCCAATTGTTATTTCTCAGTTCCTAAAGGATCTGCTATTTGACTTTTTCAATGCCTTCAGGGTCACTGTCATTTTACTTAGCATGATACAACAATAACAGTATAAAAAGGGTTATTCTGCCTTCTTTTGAATTAGAAAAACAGTTTATAGACCAATAAGGAAACAGAAATATATTTTATATGTCAATGTACTAGTAGTTGTCAAAATAGTTGTCAAAATATACCAAGAAAGGCCAGGTACTACATAGCTAAAAAAGTTTCTTATATTTTGTTAATGTCAACCAAACCCATTTTCACAGGCAAAATGTGTATTTTCATGCCTTATTTGATAATTCCATGAAAAAATCAAAATATGATTTTAGTCAGCATATTAGAAATTTATTCTTGGAGATGCAAGTATATATTTTCAAATTGTGAATGTTAAATTGTGAATATAAGAATCTTCCCACCTATCTTTTATTTTAACTTAATATTTTCAAACTTTATAAATATAGATAGGATAATTTGCTTATCTTTTTTTGACAAAGCCATCAAATAATCAGTGTTGTGAATAAGGATTATTTATTTGGAAAACAAAAGGGACACAATTAATCAGCTGTCAACACGGAAAGGAAATAAAATTGGGTATTTAAATAATTGAATAGGAATAAATGCGTGGAGGGAGATTAAGTTAAGGAGGGGTACCTTCTTCCCACCAAAAAGACTACTCACAAAAAAGTAAAAATGCTTACATAAAACATTTCCTTTTCAGCATAAAAATAGCTCTGCTAAATCCCTTAGGGAGAAGGAATATATTTCTACAAATTAGATTATTTGAGTTATGGAATGTCAGTGAGAAAACACAATCAAGGTACTAACGTGTTAACATCTAGGCATAATTGAGAAATAGAGGCATTAATAAAATTTTTACATTATTTATTGTGAAACTTGATATCAGGTGTTATTTAATTAACTATTCTAATGCAGTGCATGACTAGGTCAGATGGTCTCTAAGTTTTTAACTTACATTTTTTTCACAACCTCTTCATTAGCAATAAAGAAGAATGTCATATATATTATCCATCATATTATTTTGACCTATACCTTTGATATTTAATCAAAAATCCATGCATAGCAATATTGTAAAAATTAGTATAGTGGGGCTGGGTGTACTGGCTCACACCGGTAATCCCAGAACTTTGGGAGGCTGAGGCGGGCAGATCACACGGTCAGGAGTTGAGACCAGCCTGATCAATATGGAGAAACCCTGTCTCTACTAAAAATACAAAAATTAGATGGGCGTGATGGTGCACACCTATAGTCTCAGCTACTTGGGAGGCCGAGGCAGAAGAATTGCTTGAACCCTGGAGGCAGAGGTTACAGTGAGCCGAGATTGCGCCCCTGCACTGCAGCCTGGGTGACAGAGTGAGACTCCATGTCAAAAAA